GGCTATTGAGGTGGTCGTTCATGAAGGCATCAGGAGTTGAGTATATTGTAAACTGATGGATAACTAATGGGACTACACAGTACATGATGCACCCTCCACATACACTGAAGCACTCGTGGGTGTTATCCTGCCCTTGGCCCCTTTTCACGAACCTACTCTGAAAAGTCGGTTGTGCTCGTCATTATACCAAGACCAGGGAGACGGCCTTCACTTGTTCCACCAAGAGATCTTTCTAAATATATGACCAGTTATCATGATCAAGATTTGTGTTATCGGTGACTCAGCGCTTATGGATGGTGACTTGACTGTGATATATACTCCTCATGTCGAGTAAACTGAACTGTGTAACCGTAAAGTTTAATAAATCAGTAAATTCAAAAGACCGAAGGGGGAGTGGGTGGTAATGCTTCGTAGCTAGAGTTAAGGATATATTGTTCAGGTAACGCCATGACAAATTATGGGGGTTATGTGAATAAGGTAAGGCAACAACTTGAGGGTGAGAATGAAAATCTGATTAATTAAGTACTGGTATTGATGTGGTATACAGAGGTGCCTGTCACCTTTTCTTAAAGAGTGTAAGCGTTCACTTAACCTTTTGTAAACATTGACACTTGCCATTGCAACATTATAAAAATAACGTTGTCATGTTGCCATTGCCATCCACGGATTACATAAATTGTATGTTTATTAAATATGCCAGTTTGACCTGAGTCTATTGTACTGTACCGGTACATAGTGTTGTTCAGTGTTGATTACCCGCGTGGTGGTGTCATCACCTCTTGTTCCTTCGTCAGTAGCTTCCCACAGTCTTCCATTGTATTACCACACTCACAGCTGATAAAAACCAATGAAAGTCACTTTACCAGTTCTCAAGTGGGGGGGGGGGGGTGAGAAGCGTCCTCAGTCGGTAGTTATGGCAGAAAGGAGTAGTTTAAAAAGGTGTGATTCTTGACCATCTGGAACATAACGACCACAACACACCACTGTTTTCTCCCACACTCACCATTTTCTTTATTCTCTCTTTTTAACAGCGGCAACAAGACGACACTGATAATCCTTAATAGAAACTTTAACTCGTGACCGTGTGAGTGAGACAAATGATCCCTTTACGGCTTTAACCAAGAATGTAAACAGAGACGAACGGATCTCTCTACCTTATGAGCCAGGAAGTCCGGAACCACAAACAATACCAAGTTAGTGAGGTTAAGTATGAGTCAGGGACGACACAGACCACAGGAGGTAGTCAAGATGGTCACTGCTTATATGACTAATGCTATCTCTCCTCGTTAACCTGGGATCACCTGAAGATTCGGCTCCCCCTCTCTCAGTTTAATTCACCTGGGGGGGGAGTGATCAGTCATCCACTCATCCATGTCCGCTACTTACTGTCTCCTTTGTATTCTCCTGTTCATACTTTAATAACTAATTTTCCAGTCACCAGCTTCACCCCCAGAGGCCCACAGGTCGTCACTACTGCTTGTCCTCGGCCCATAATAGAAGCACTTAACCCTCGCCACCTCGCCCTCCTATCTCTCATAACTCAGGTACAACAAGATAAGGTAGATAAGGAGGTCAGGTAAACCACTATGTATGTGTCGCTACTTTTATGCTCATGTTCCCTCGGTACTTTGTAAAAATGTAGCAAATTAGTGTTGAAAGTAACAAGGAATTTTAACTTTTCAATCTTGACTTTTCTCGCTAAATATTAGATTATTTTAAGATCTGGGGGAAAGAAATATAAGTTCAACTCCATAAAGTGAAGAATAATATACAATTGTTTTTCATGAGTCTACACTGCACCAACACAGTGTAGGAGTGGGTGGGGGTGCAAGGTAGCCAGGTGGAGTGAAGGCTTGAACCTACCGCCGCGAACCAACACTGATGAAATAACAAGTTCAGTCAACCTTGGTAGACTTTTATGGTTATTTCAGCCCAGAGACCGAACACGACTGATGACGACACAAACCTGTTTTATGAATATCACTAAGAATACTGGAAAAAAAAAAAATAACTGACAGAGACATGTTGAAATTCCAGTAACCAAGACCAGAAACTCCACACTTGAGGGATGTGTGAGAGTCATGGAGCATAGAGACACAACAGCTGTATACCAACACTCAGTTTGTGGAGTGTACAAGACGTAATGCAAGAACTACAGCTGTATCTACTGTATATATTAAAACCAGACGCTAAAAACTGATGCAACCGATTATGTTAGGTTAGGTTAGGGTGTTCAGTCATCAGGTAACGATGTTTAAGAAGGTGGATGTTATAAGATGACATGATGTAGATAAATAATGATACGTAATCAAACATCTTAACGTCGATGGTTTAATCACAAATGCCTTACGGAGTCCATAGTCTAGCCGTGTTGTGGGGCAGTGAAGGGTGACGCTGCTTACATCATTGACCATCTAGGGAAAACGTGGCTAAATAATCTCAGGTTGGTCATAAAGAAGCCCTAAACATCTCCAAACACGGGCCCTTAAATTCACCCTTTTCCCTCCCTCCCTAACCTAACCCACCCCACCCCACCGCCCCCACCAAAAAAAAAAAAAGGAGAGAAATTATGACTTTAAAGAGTTGACGGGGGAGCCTTACCACACATATAGAGAGTCTCGCGTACATTGAGCCTCTTCTGGCCCTCACCTGCCTAGTTTATGGTGAGAAGGTTCATGGGCAGTGATACTTAATTAACGTCAGGTGTGAAATGGCCCTCATTAATTAACTTGCTGCCACATGGTCCAATTGGCGGCGGTGGGACAAGAGTAATGTTGGTGGGGTGGTGGTTGCTGGGGTGGTGGTGGTTGCTGGGGTGTTGGTGGTGGTTGTGCTAGGGTGATGGTGGTGCCTCTGCTGGGGTGGTGGTGGCGGTGTACTGGAAGAATTATTTTTTTCTTGAAGTGTTATGGTGTGTGTGTGTGTATGTGTGTGCGTGTGTGTGTGTGTGTGTGTATGTGTGTGTGTATGTGTGTGTGTGTGTTGTAAGATAATGAAGGAAATTTGGTTGAAGGTACTGTATAATAACCCAACACTACTATTGTGAACTATAACCCCAGAATAAGTTTGGTCACAGTAGCTGGCACTACACTACACTACACCACACTACACCACACCACACTACACTACACCACACTACACAACACTACACAACACTACACTACACTACACCACCACACTACACCACACCACACTATACCACACTAAACTACACACACTACATTACACTACACATACTACACTACACACCACACACACACTACACCACCACACAACACCACACCACACTACACTACACAACACCACACACTACACACACACACTACACACCACACTACACCACACCACACTACACACACCACCACACACTACACAACACCACACTACACAACACACACAACACACCACACTACACTACACACACTACACTACACTACACTACACTACACCACACCACACTACACCACACTACACCACACTACACTACACACACTACACTACACCACACTACACTACACCACACCACACTACACTACACTACACTACACTACACCACACTACACCACTACACCACACTACACTACACTACACCACACTACCTACACACACACTACACTACACAACACTACACACACACCTACACCACTACACACACACACTACACAACACCACACTACACTACACTACACCACACCACACTACACTACACTACACCACACTACACTACACCACACTACACTACACTACACTACACTAGACAGACCGACGACCAAACGGATAATAATAACCTGATAAATAGTACAAATTATAAATAAAAATAGAATAACAAATAATTTTCCTCACTATTTGTTTATCTACTACTGCAAGAATAGAGATCAGGTGTTTATGTGATGGATCAAATATTTACTAAAGATTAAGATCATTATTAATTTAGCGGTAATTAGATATACCACTACAAAGGCACAGGTGAGACAGGTGTGAGGTGGTCTTCTCTGTCCAAGGTGTGAGGTGTGAGGTGATCTTCTCTGTCCAGGGTGTGAGGTGTGAGGTGGTCTTCTCTGTCCAGGGTGTGAGGTGTGAGGTGGTCTTCTCTGTCCAGGGTGTGAGGTGTGAGGTGGTCTTCTCTGTCCAGGGTGTGAGGTGTGAGGTGGTCTTCTCTGTCTAGGGTGTGAGGTGTGAGGTGGTCTTCTCTGTCCAGGGTGTGAGGTGTGAGGTGATCTTCTCCCTGGATGAGGAAATGAAAAACATCCGAGTCTCATTACAGGAGAGTGAGGGCGTCATCCACTGCCCCGTCTACCATAATATAATCTTGCCCTCCCTCACTCCCTCACCTGTCTGCACGAGGCTGGTGTGTCATTGAAACCTTGTGCTGCTTTACCTTTAGTATTATGAGGTAGACATTATGAGGTAGACATTATGAGGTAGACATTATGAGGTAGACATTATGAGGAAGACATTATGAGGAAGACATTATGAGATATATACAAACACACGATAGATGAGTCAGGGTAGAGCTCGGCGGGTGGTTAGGTGAGGCAGTCTTAGGCGTTCCGGGACGTTCTGAGCAATTATTGGGGGAAGTGAAGTGCGGTGCCGCCCCCAGGCTGGGACAGGTGAAGGAGGCCCCCTGCACACACACACACACACACATACACACACACACACACATTACCATGCTAAGGTTACAGTCCTTTATCAGTAATCTGTTGTACGGTTGATCTGACGCCCTGTTTACCACACACTCCTGCAGGGATCACACACTCCTGCAGGGATCACAGGCTTCTGCAGGGATCACACTCTCCTGCAGGGATCACACTCTCCTGCAGGGATCACGCGCTCCTGAAGGGATCACACACTATCATCCGTTTTGTACTATATAAATCACCCGTCCAGAGGGAACAGTAAGTTATACAGACAGAGATAGTTTACCTGGCTGCCTCACCCACCCTTATGCTCCTCCCCCCTCCCCGCTATCAACCTGTGCGTGGGCTACCCGCGTCCCTCCAGTTTAGTTTCCATCACGACTCCCAGGAGAGCGGAGTGTCGGCTGCGTGCGCGCACTACACCGTCACGTGAACTACCCGCCCCCACAACTCAACACTTGCCTGTGTGTCCGCTACGGGATACTGTTTAAAGATTTTATAGTGAAGAGAAAGTAGTTTGTGTGTGACGAGTGAAGGTGTTGTGTGGTGTGCCAAGACTCACCAGTAAGGATCTTCTCCTGGGACAGTGACGAGGGAAAAATCTTGCAAGACAGTGACGCGCGACGGGAGTGACCAGCCAGGTACACTCGTTAACACCACCTTGACTCGCACCTGCAGTCTGTCCTGGTGTTATAAATATACCCTGTTGTCTCACGGTGGTGAACTAAGACGCTCGTCATCAGCTGTGTACTGACACCAGGACACTGACACTCCACCCCAGAGGCTCTTGTGACCGCATAACACTTCTCCTTAGAGGCTATTAGCAAGAGCATACCCCCCCCTCCCAGGAGAGGCCCTCCCTGTCACTGAACTTTTGTGATACTACTGTAGGTTCTCTGGCCGCCGTAGCAGGAGCGGGCGGGTGTGTGTTATGGTGTAGCCTAGGTGAGTGTAGGTGACCGTGGGGGCAGGAGCCGCCGCCCAACACCTGCTGGATGCCCGTCAGAGACGCCACCACTTCCCTCCCTCCCAACAAGTAAGTCTACAACCGTTGTTAACTCTTGTGTGTCTACAAAATCCAAGGAAAATGGTGTTATGTAGCGTCCTGTAAGTGACAAAAATTACTGCAAACTTCATGTGTAGAGGAGAGGCATGAAGAACGACACGTTCAGTCTTCGGTGTTTCAGTAGTTATGACGGGTATTACTATGGGGGGGGCGACTCCCCTCAGATAATGAACCAAACCGAGGACTTGCAAAAAAAAAAATCATAATAATATTTTTTCTAAAAATAAAAGGGACAATTACAATCGATTTCCTGCAGGGTGGGCGTGTGGAGGCACTCGGAACACATCTTATTCTGAAAAAAACTAAATATCATTTAAGAAATAGCTGTTATCCTTCACATAAACCAGAAGACAAAGTACGTCGAGTTTTACCCTGACAAAAATAAAGTCGATTACCATTAAGATGTACAAGAAATGTTATGACCTTTGTCGGGTTTATCTTGTTCTCTGAAGACAATTACAGCGGCTGCTGCCATGTGCTGGGGATTCCCCTGATTAACATATCAACTAGTGTAGGAGGGGAGCAGCCTGCCAGCCTCTACCTCAGCCAAGGCTTTGCTCACGTGGTTCAACATAAACTGTTTACCTGTCACCCCTGGTCAGGTGTAGTGTGGGGGCCACCTGGCCTCCCAGACACGGTGTGGTGTAGGGGCACTTCACACGGCGCAGTACAAAGCATGAGAACTCTCAATAATAATGTTACCAAGAAACTTACACCACCGCACAGTAGCAGAGGCGCCTCCTCCACTCCCCTTTTATAAGATACACCCACAGTCACTGTTCTGAGGACCTACACTGATAGTATCATCACCTGACATCTACCAGTGGCCCACGAGAACCCCCGGAAGCTCTCATGGCTGCTAACAGTATTCCAGTTTACAGAACCTCTACCCCAGACCAGCACTGTGTGAACTAACTCCCTGCCACCAAGTGTTTTTCCCGTATCATGAAACTCCAATGGCTCAAATTTAAACTACTCCCAATGCCTCCTTTGTCCGGGGGGGGGGGGCGCCTTGGTGAATAGATTTAGAGTTGACAATGCCACTTGTCTAATCTGTCTCTGCGACGATTATTTATAAGACCAAACAAAGTTGATCAGTGGGCGATGAAGTGTAAGCTTTTCACTGTTCACTTATAATTGAACTTACAAACAAACACATAACTTTATAAAGTATTTGTGCCCGTGTGTGGCAGTAGTGAGTTACAGTAGTTAATAACATCTGTAGTGGGGCCGACCGTAACTCATTCTCTTGGTGGACGATCAATGCCTCCCTCGAGTCCCCCCCACCACACACACACAAACAGCCTCACAAACTCGTGGTATTTGACAAAGGCAGTTTTAATAGAACAGAAAGTTGTACCCGAACCAAAACTTTTGTTGTAAACACGCAGTATAATATAATGTGTTGGTGTGTCCTGCAGGGCTGTGATCCAGAATAATGTGGAGGAAGCGGTAGATCACGGTGTGAGGTGAACAGTGTTTAGTGTCCACCAATAGGTACTCTTGTGGTGGTGCTGCTGCTCCTCCCTTCCCGCCCTCAAACTTCCTTCTAAAATATTGTTACCAAAAGTTGTGCTGTCATGTCTTTAGTGATTCTGAGTGTGAACATTACCGACTGATTTACCGCCACCTGGAGCTGACAACAGGACTGTTGGAACTGTAAACACCGGTACTGGTAACCCTCGTGTGTGCCCTCACATGTCTGCTCAAGGGAAATTGGCTGTGCTCTTATATTCTGAAATACATATTGAACAGCTTATGATCACTATGTATTCTGAGTCGTCATGTACACCTGACACAACACCTACCAGACCACAGCAGAGTTACTACAAGTTGTGATCAGGTCGTAAGGCTGGTGGCAAGGTCAAGTGGACACCTGTGGATCCGCCGCTAATTAACAAGTGTAGTCGTGCGAGACGGAGCTCTTCCCTTGAGGGGTGTCTGGTGCCTGGCCTGGCCCGCGCGTCTCTCGCTCCTTATTACTCGTTCAAGTCTCCAGCAGCCAACCCCCCCACCCCCCCCCCCTCCCATCACTGCCTCATTAGTCTTCATCTTCGGCCGTTTTAGAGGGATTTAATTATAAAGAATAACTATGAAATATATAATAAGTCGATGTAAATAATGTTTGGAAGGATGTGACTACGTGTGAGAGCTGGTGAGTTAGTTCACTTGTAGTGTGTGGTCTCTGGGTGCATGTTTAGACCTTACAGTGAGGGTCACACAGTCGCTGGACCCAACACCATCTTGCATCTCTCTCAATAATTCTCAAGCAAGAGTCCAGTATATCAGTGTACACTCTATTCACTTCTTCTCACTGTACGGGAGCGAGGCGGAGGCGGGCCTGGGAGGACGTGCACACAGGGGGGAAGAGATCCTCGCTACCACCTCATCATTTCACCTGGCCTCCGTGATTAGTGGCTGGACGGGCGTCATGATTTTTCGTTTTTCTTGGTAATATCTTTGGCGAGCAGTGAAGTGTGAATGTACTCCCGTTCTCACTTGTTTTCCTCTCCTTCTTCTACTTCTACTTCTTCTTCTTCTTCGAGAGAGAGAGAGAGGGAGAGATTCCATGTGTAATTTTCAAGCTGTTGTAACTTGCTTATCATTATAGTTTACATTTGAAAGGAAAATATTGCGTGTAACTGTTGTACCGCGTGAAGATTAGGCAACCCAACTTATTTCAACCTTAAGACTGAACACACTAAACCTAACCTGAACCCCTGTTAGTGTTAAGGTGTTTAATCTTTACGTGATCCACATATTGGAGTAGATTCAGTGACATATAGGAGTCAGGAGAGAGGTAGAGGGGAGGAGGGAAGAAAGAGAGAGTTAGTGTGTGTGTGTGTGGTGTATCATCAGCCTGCAGTACCACCACGTTCCACGCTATACTGCTCTTACCTTCATCAACTCCTTCTGATAGAAAATCGGACTTGCGGTACATTCTCGCGGTCGCGGTGCCATCCAGGTGTTCAATACCTTCTCCTTTTCCTCCTCCTCCTCCCTGGATAACCTGAGCCACACCAGAGTGACAATATCAAGAAGTTCACTGTTATAGAGATAAAACATCGCGGTTGTTTATTTCTTGGAGTCGAATTTTCCAGCATTTTGATCCTCGCCTCAACCTTCTTCCCACGAGTATTAGTTCCTTATAAATGACAAAATCAATTCATCGCTAAACCAGAATTATTTTTATTCTCCAAACTATTAAAAGAATAAACACTATAACACAAGGTGAGATGTTAGGTGATGATAATTACGGACTCGAGAACAAAGAGGAAACTGTATAACATCCAGGAAACATCTCGTGGAAGTTTGTTCACCTATACAACAACAGTAACTTGCTTCCAGACCAAGTTATTAACGTTGACATGAACCCGGAAAATGGACAGGTAAATGACAGGTGGGTGAGGTAGGTGGTGGGGTGTGATTCAGCCTCAGGTTTGCCTATAATCTTAATTGTGGTTCCCTGGAGGATTCGGATAGAGAAGTCATCAGGTAATGGGATAAATAGTTTGAGTAGTGATGATGTCATGAGACGATGATGGGGTGTTGAGGGTCACGAGATAGAGCAGCTACCTTCTGTTTCCCTTGATACAGTCCTTCACAAAAAAACACCTGAAGATTAGACACCTGGGCTTTATTCACCTCATGTTTAAGCACCCTAACGCGACCTGGGGGTGAAGGTGTCTCGTATTGGACTCTTCGTCACTGTGTAGATTTTGTCATTGTAAGAGTCCAGGGTTCATTATGGCCAGTTGGCACTACTTGTATTAGGAAACATTCACGTTGTTATGGCGGTAAACGCTTCAACACGCTGCTCTGAACTTCACACGTTATTGAGGCAGGTGAGAGGGAGGGAGGGAGCCACCAGCGCCATGTCAGAGGCACAAAAAGGGTTGTTTGTGTTCCTCAACTCACACACACACAAGAAGACGACATGATATAACGATGATCCCCAGTTGTTACTTTAATTATACTCAACAAACAATAGATCAGGGCAGCTAGACACGACTTCTTCACCGCCTCCACTCTCTAGTTCTCAGAAATTACCTCGATTTTTGTCCAGGGGAAACTTATCAGGGTGATTAGACACGAAGAGGAGGGGGAGGGTAAGGCCGGTGTGAGAGGGACGGTAAGGCCGGTGTGAGGGGGACGGTAAGGCCGGTGTGAGGGGGAGTGGTGACGAGAAAGAGTTTAGTATGTGGTTCGGTCATCGTAGAACCAGGTGTTGAGCTCCCCCTCCCCCATCGTGGTCGAGCAACGATATCAACAGCTCTCTTAACATGTCATTTAGACAAGAGGGAGGCAGCACGGGCCGGCGGCGGGCAGGCACTAGACACGCGACTAAGAACTGAGCCACCTGTCGCCCGTCGTGGTGGGTGCTGCTGCCTCCTGCGGCTCAATAGGGGACCGCCCTTCATGCTAATGAGACGATTGAATACTCGTTAGCGTCGACTGAAGGAGAGTTCTACGAAAACTCAGCCCAGATGGTGGCACTGGTGTAGGGTTCTCCGTCAACCTCTGTGGCTAGTAGAACGGTGTGTACCCTCCCGCCTCACCACACCAGGGTAGGAGGGCGGGGGTAAGGTTTTCTCTCTCCCACCGCTACACGACGACTGTTTCCTGGTTGTTTTGTTCTCGTGTTCCACAGTCTCGTCCATCACGCGAAGGTTGCCCCCATTATGTCTTTTTTCCCGTAAAATGATCTGTGAGGCAAATTGTTAATTTTGATAAGGATCTCTGTATTACTTCCAGTGTAATTCTTCTATATTTTGAGGCTCATTTCATTACACAGTGAAATTTTTGTCTTGTAAACTATATAAAGGTGAGGTGTACATTAGTGATAGTTACTGAATTATGATCGATAGTTGTGTCATTACCACAGCGATTGTGGCTCTTTTAGTTAAAAATTGTTACCACAACAATGAAGGGAAACTACACCTCTATCACATTGTTTAGTTAGATCAATT